AGTTTATAAAGGTCTACACAAGACACAAGACCATAGGCATTGTACAATAGTCTTCTTCCCTGATCCCACCTGAATATACCACAACTTTGTATTTACAAACTGATGATGATCAGCTGTGTGTATACACAGTGAGCATCAAGATTGCTTCACAAAGTTGGAGCAGAGGAAGATATAAGGTCCTTGCAGGGCATAATTTTAAATAGCCTCTTGAGAGCACTCAAGAGGAAATCTTGCTCTCACACTGACTCTCTCCTTACTGCCTCACTATGGAGAAACTCTTCTTGTCACATCAATTCTGTTTAGAATCATTTGAAGAGTGATTTTCCCCAGAAATTGGAACAGGATGTAAAAACATCAAAGCGTCCTTAGATGACTTACTTTCATGGTAAGAGGGACAATGGCAGTGTCACCAGCTGGTCTGGACAGCATTAGCTGCAGAACTAGAGTTTTGGCCCTAATAAGAATTAAGGTTTGGATCAACATTTATACGGTTTAATTACTTAGCTGGATCCAAAAAGTATGTGTATGCACACACAAATCTGTACAAGTATTGTGTATTACATTACATATTACCAAGAAGTAGACAAGCCAAGAACATAATATTGTACAAACAATGTACAAAAAGCTCTAGTAATTTTGGCACATGCTCAGTGATAACTGTCATTTAAGAGGACATGTACTAATGCAGCACATTAGCATTTGCTCTGTCATGAAGGAAAAGGGTTTGATTCTTGGCCAGTGCAAACAGAGAATTCTCATTCATGGATAACAAACAATCTCCCAGAATACATGCGTCACTGAAAGGCAGAGCTGTGTTTTGAGTGTCATACATGCAAGAACAAATAATTAAAATGTATTTTAAAACTATGACAAGCCTTAAGGAAAAAACCTATCCATTACAAATTTAAAGTTTTGGGTTTGGAGAAAGACACACAAGGATTTTCTCTGTCTATGGTTATAGATGGCTGGGATACCTATCACTTGCAAGCTAAACCCATAGCAGTCATCTGCCTTTTAGGTCTGGCTAATTCCAGCTACCATAAAAATATCGAGCCAATAGATGGAAAATATGGGTGACTGAGATACTAATTAATGAACAAAGCTTTCTATAATGCCAGAAAGTTGTCAGGGGATATTTTAATTTAGGTAAGGTCAATAAAGTACACATAAAACATCATACTTGGATCCAAAATATCCTTGAAAGACCATCTCTATGCTGATGAAAAAAGTTGTGATATCTGAGTAGTTTTGAAATCTCCCTTTCCCTTCCTTAAACTGAAAAAAGAGATAAGAAATATTGTAGGATTAAAAAAAAAAAAAAGTGGCCACTGTCCAAAGTTCAACAGTTCCTTTGGGACAGGGAAGTTTTTTTTCTGTCGTAATATTTAAGGGTTTAATTTTAAATAAACAGTGTCATTTGAGTTTGTTCTTTATGGCAGTTATTGCTAAAAGCTACTTCAACTTTCTGATTGCATTTCTTTTGGTAGAATGTTCAGTGGTAACGAAAGCAAGAGTAGTTTTAAATCTCCCTTTCCCTTCCTTAAACTGAAAAAAGAGATAAGAAATATTGTAGGATTAAAAAAAAAAAAAAAGTGGCCACTGTCCAAAGTTCAACAGTTCCTTTGGGACAGGTAAGTTTATGTTCTGCTGTAATATTTAAGGGTTTAATTTTAAATAAACAGTGTCATTTGAGTTTGTTCTTTATGGCAGTTATTGCTAAAAGCTACTTCAACTTTCTGATTGCATTTCTTTTGGTAGAATGTTCAGTGGTAACGAAAGCAAAGATAATTAGGACCAATGGGGTTTTACAGATGCCACATAGAAGCATGCTGTATAGTGCTGAAAATCAGACTGGAAAGTTAGATTAGTTCAGATGCCTCCAAAAAAGGAAATTATATACCTTATTAGGTACCCACATCCTTACTTCAGACATGACATTTACTTGAAGTCTGGAGTATGGTCCTGAGGAAGAGCATATGCTCTACAACACTTTAAGGGTTGAAAGAAAGCATGCCCTGCAATTCCTGAGCTATCCCTTCCCCTCATCTTTGAGGCACCACATGTAGTTATGTCCTAAGAGTTGAGGGAATGGCGGATGAACAAGAAGAGGGACTTTGCTTCATTCCCAACCAGTCCTGGAACTTCTGGCTTGCATTCAAGCTAGTATTTAGGCTTTTAATTTCCTTCAGATATTAGTGAAAAAGTAACAGCTTAGGTAGTTGGCTGAACCTCTAATACACAGCTGCATATGGTGCTTTTATTCATAGTTCTTATCTTCCTAATAAAGGGAAAAGTACTATGTTGCTAGCCACAACTTCCCTTTGTCACTGTCATACCAGATCGACTTATTTTCATGCATCAGTTTGAGCTTTGACACCATCCAACTGTAGAAACAAAGAATAAAAACAAAGTGTGTTCCTCAAAATAAAATACTGCTATCTGAAGCATATACTCAGGTCCTGATCTATACCTTACTACACCATTGAAAGTATGTCTAAAAACTTTGCATCAGTTCCATACAAAGTGCTCTGGTTCATCACAGGGATTTTATACTGGACAAGTAATGCAACATAAACTCTGGCAGAACCCCATCTAGTTCCATCAGCCTCTTCCAAGCAAAGTAGCTCAATTTTGAGTAGTGTCAGCTTCAATCTGTCCACATTCTCAATTCTTTGCATGCTGGTCTCTCTCACACTGTGAGCTAGCAACATAAAATCTAGTCATACCATAAAACATTTCTAACCAATCACTCCTGTGTAGCAACAGTCTGGCATTACTGACACTCAGTATTTGGGTACCTCAGAAAGCCTGTCATTTTTGCACCACAGGTTAATTATCACCTGATGTGCCAGACAAGACAGCTAGCTAGCAACAAAAAGCCAGATCAACAATATGCTGAAAAGGCTCTGCAGTAGACTGGACTTCACCCTTCATCTGGGCCGTGTCCAGCTCTTTTCAGTTATCAGTGAGTTATAAATCAAGTCTTAAAGAACAGGGATAATGGTTTTGCATGCAACTTAGCTGAAGGATTTACCAAGGGTTAGAGGCTTTTTCCCTATTCAGGTGCACAGGCATCAGTGATGTAGAAGAAGGTTCTCTACATTTAGACAGCTCACTACCATGCTGGAACAACGAAGCCATTGTTTGTATCACAGTACATTATTTTCTGCCTCTGGGTGTGACAGGTCACCAGGGCAAGGCAGGAATGGATAACCCTTCATTCTGTGCAGAGTTTTTTGTCAAGAAAAATGGGTAACTCTTGAAAAGGCTTCACAAAGCTGCATACTTCTCATTCTGAGCACCCTTACATAAACCAAAAATACTCCCAGGTAACCAAGAGCCAACCATGGAAAAAACCATTTAAATCTTTACAAGAAAAAGTGCTAAGTTTTGGCAAACTTCCTCCCTCCTCAAAACAAAACCCCCCAAAAGTTACAAACAAAGAAAAAATCTCCAAGTCCACAAGGAAGTCCTTGCCCTTGTTTGCTGCTGTTGTTTTGGTTTCAGGCCATGTATGGGCTCAGAGTCATTGGCAGCAAAGTTACAAGGCAGGTTACCATTCAATGTCAAAGAAAAAAAAACATTAACAGTTTATGGGCTGAAATCAAGCACTCTGTTTCTGAACATTGGCCAAATACAAACTGTTGACCTGCATGGCACAGGACAGCACACACTGTCTACTATATTTTATGTTTTCTGAGCGGCATGCTGATATGGGTTAGGGTATAGCAATAAAATTAATTAACCCTTATTCAGAGTCGAAAATGAAAATCTGTGCATGACGTCTTTTTGAAAGAAGCAGAACCACTAGCTGTGATTTTTGAATACTGAGAATCCTATCTTTCATAATTTTACAGAAGCAGAGTGATACATTAGGGTACCAGTTCAGCTCTTGCAGAAAATTGGACCAAGCCTTCTATGTCTTTCTTTAACCAATATAAAAAAATTAGTTATTTTTATTCCTATTAAGTTGTTTTGGCATTTTGGGCCCAAGGGAGGTCACATCAAGTTGACTGTATCTTAAGCCTGTGGAATTGGTTCTTCTTTTATAGCAGTGGAAAGCCATTCCCTTCAATACTAGTACTCTCAAGTTAGGCAGCAACAGTGAACAAAGAATCAAATCCCTTAGCTTCAAACAAATCTTACATAAAATGTAGCTCAGTTATAATAGTATTTTTTTTGTGGGCAAATTGCACCAAATTACATTGATGTAAACGGTAAATGCCCTTATTCCAAGGGGCTACAAACTTTCCTTACATATGTTACACCTTAAAGGGAATATGTGCCCACGTATGTGCATAATAACATTCACTCAATAGCAATTCAATTGGCAGTGTTTAGTTATATTCAATATTTTAAAGTATTATTAGCTTAATGTCCCCTTCACTTCAAATGTGAAGCAGTGTAAACTTGAAAATACACTGCAAAAAGCTCGAGTACACTTCTTAGTAAGTTCTTGTTCCTCACCTCTCAGGTTAGTACAATAACTCCATCCAAATCCAGCCAGTCAGAACCATGCTACAGTACATAGTAATGTAGCATGAAGTACAGTCAGGAGGAAAGTAAGGGCTAGTTTCCACCTCACTGTTGACATAAAATACTTTAGAACCTATATCGCCTTTAAAAAAAAAAAAAAAAAAAAAGTAAAAATTCTGTTTTTCATGAGTGGTGTATGACATTTACAGACTAGCACCTTGTATATTACAACCACTTACTCCCCAGTAGTATATTGTTGAGTGTTTTAAATAAAGTGTCAGATCTAAGACATCTATAAAACCCCCAACAAAACAGTAGTCAAATCAAACTGCATAAATAATGGTATATTCTTCAGAAAGATGTCTATGAAAGATCCTCTTTTCAAGAGGTTCTAGTTGACATCCTCAGGGCAAACTGATATTTAGGAACGTTTGAGATGTCTTCCTTGAATTAATGAAGTGTGGTATATCTCTGCTCTTGACTTTCTGGGTTCTGGTTGGGTTTTTTATTTATTTGTTGGGTTTTTTTTATCTAAAGCTCAGCAAAATTATGTATTTTTTTTGTACTGATATATTTATTGTTGCCAATATACACATGAGGAATGTAATGAAGTGGTGTTGTGCTGCAAGTAGCTCAGCAGATGTTGAAATCGGTTCCAGTTCCAGTCTTAGCACTCACAATAACCAAAACATGTGGGATTCATCTACAGCATTCTTACAAATATGTTCTCTTTCCCCTCTTTTGCTCCCTCTGTGTTGTAAGCCCTCAGCCTTACTTGCTTCCTTGTACTTTATGATCATATGTGCCTGCATGCTTATAGCCAGATACGTATCCTGAAGCATCCACCAGATCTTCTCGGCCAGCTTTGCCTTTTCCTTTCCCACTGGGATCAAATCTCTCTTTGTGAGAACCTGTGAATTTTGATGTATCTGTAAGACGTGATACAGTTGGAGATGAAATGGCTTTCTATTGAAAAAAGAAAAGAAACAAACAAAAAATCATAAATAAATTATTCTTAATACAGTCATTTGGTACATGCTACCAACATTTAAATCTTTGCTAGAGACAACATAACTATTCACTCAGTTCCACCAAAAGGATACAAAAAAAGTTTGTTTCTTGGCATTACATACAATGACAGTAATCATATAGCCAATAAAAAAATATTTGCACGTTATGAAAAAAAATTTGGAAGATATTTTCAATATGTAGTATTATTAATCAGAAGATTAATAATAAAGTTCTACTCATTAAAAATATTAAGAAGTCCTAGGGAACAGCTGTGGTCAAAATCCATTACATCAACATCCAAGCCTAAAAGCCTGACTACACCAATACAGAAAAAGTAAACCAATAAAGCTAGAATTCATTGCTTCAAGACACAAGTATATTCTAAACTCTAGGATTCGTAAGAGAAGTAACAAACTAGAATGACCTAAAGTTATTTTCAATGTTACCAAATTAGCAGTCTATGAAATAGCACTGAGTAAAGACTCTCCTCTCCATTGCTTCCATTGAGTCATATCAGGCTACTTAAAAAATAAAAATATTGCTGTTGAGACATAGAAAATTTGACTAGGCAAATGGAAAGAAAAATATTTCACAGACCAATACAGGAGCATGTTAACCTGTGTGCTTGGACTGGAAGCCGTTGCTTTTATCCTTAAGTTTACATTTTAAAATCAAGAGACAGGGCACTGAATGAAAAGGGAAAACACAAAATACGTTTGCATAGTAGTGGAAATGGAGATAAGATAAACAAAGACTTGATAACATTTGAGCATCTTTCTTATGTGTGCCACCCTGTTAGGGTGCATTTTAGAGACATAAGTGACATGGCCTTCATTTTAGTGAAGAATCTTACCTTTCATCAAATACGTCATTCCTCCTCTACCCATCCTCAGCCCAAATAAATGCCCATTAACTAGACCTAATAAACAGGTTTTCAAAGTAACACACAGTTCTTCCATAGGATGACATATGTCAAATCCCTTTTAATGCTGAAAATTGAAACATGAGGCTTGGAAAAGATGCTTCAGTCTCTACCAAGAAGAACATGATACATGGTTTCGGTTAGGCTGGGAATGAATGCTGTAACTTATACACCACGGAAGCTGCATGTCCTCCACACCATTAAAATAAAAGCTGTTTTGAGGGAATTTTTCTGCATCCATAACTACTTCATGAGAATGTCAGGTTGTAAAATTCTGCTTTTAACTGTTCAACCACACTCAACATGTGACACGCACACTGCTCTGCGGTGATACCTTCACCTATGACTCTGAGGTGCAGGGTGTTGTACAGGTGTGAGTTCTGTTGCTGTCTAAAAGAAAACTACCACTGGAGTATCCATTTGTCAAAAGAGCATTGCTGAATGACCTTTAGGGACTTTGGCCTTGCAGTCATAGAGTACTATTTGCAGAAGTGGTTATTTTTCTATACCAAAACCCAGACATTAAGACCATGCTTAAGAAGAAGTAATGTGTCTTAATTCACACAGTTTTCTTGTCCACATTTGCGTGCTAGCACCCTATAACTAGAAAACCTGTATTCACAGTAGAGCTAGTTAAAAAATACACCCAGTGATCAGTAATAGTGTTAGCAGCTGAGCCAGATAAAATGAAAATGCAATAAAAACATATAAGCTAAAACATCAAAAGCGTGTTTATAAAGTAAAAACTCCTGGCCCAGACGAGAATTTATCCTTTCTGTTCCTCAGGCTATTAGTAAATTAAGCAGGTTATACACAGAGTCACACAACAGAACCAAAGGATTGTCTGGCCACTGGAAATGGCTCTCACAGCTTGAGGAAAACCGACACACACTTCTGTAAGAGTGCACAACCTGTTAGCTTCATCCTGGGCACAGGAATTCCATGTTATTTTAAGTCTTACTTGTGAATTGCTATTTTGCTTGGTAAGTGAAAGGAAACATGGGGGCTTGTACCTTGAACAAAAATTCTGGCACAAACCCATCAGAATAAGCATATATGATGTAGCATTCCCTATTATGCATATATGGCCTAGTGTTTCCTGTTATGCAGTATTCAGGAGTAAGAACCTAGACACCAATTGAAGACAAACTGTCACACTGCATGACTAATCAATCTTCACCAACCACCATTTTGAACCATGAAGCATTTATAGTAATGGGTAATACAGGTGTCTTATCTAATTCTTATAAATACATGACCTCCACATCTAATTAGCATTTTTAAACTCCCATAGGTTGTAACAGCTGCAGGAGCACACTAATAAAGGCTAACTGTAGGACAGAATAGATGTCAGGAAGTTTCTTGTGCTTGCCTAAGTTATTACTAGATCATTCTTCTCTGAAATAACATATCATGCTTCTTACTAAAGGCATTTTTTAAACAACTAGCACACTTGTGTGTTTTTAACAGACTTATTAAGAAAATGAAGATTCTGTCCGTGACTCTCCCCATGTAAGTCAGCAAGGACAAAGCTACACCACAATACTAGCCAAAATATCTTTCATTGTACCTAAGACCAGAAGCTGCAAGAATGATTATTATATGATTATATGACTGAACCTTGCTCTATGTGTACTTACACAACACTTGCTAAAAGCCACAGGATGTTACTAGTGACAAAAGCTGTTTGTACTGTAAACATGGAAATAATACAAATGCAAGACAGGGGCAATATTCAGCATAAAGTTCATTAAACTTAACACATGTTTACCTTCCTTGTATTTCATTACCACTACTTTATGGAAAACCAGTTTTCTCTAAAGATGCACACACTCTGCATTCTCATATGAAAAGTCACAGAAAACTTAGTTGACTACCTTTTCCTTTACCAAATTAATTCTCAGGACTGACTGCTATTCTGAGAATTTGTAATGGCAAGTTTAATCATTATTTGTAAAAAGGACTAGAGCTTCTGCTCCTCTGTTTCAAAGCTGTGCCATGATCAGTATGAGATTTGCCTCAATATCCAAATTACAATAAAAATATTTGGTACAGTAACATAATTGTAACTGAGACTTGTATGAGTGCAATATGAAAAGAAATGTATGTATATTATAACATGCAAAACAAAATAATAAAGCAAGGATTAAAATAATAACCTGTGTCAATAATGAAGAATGTTCCCAGGAAATTACTCCCAGGACATAATTCCTAGTAGTAAACTTGAGGAATATGTTGTTTATATTAACACAACGTGCGCTATGATAAAATCACCACATGGATGACTTACCAGAAAAAAAAAAAAGCATCCTAAGAACAAGATGATAGTAATAAGATTTCTGCATACCACATGAACCTTTGCTTTTCCCATTAGTTACTGTGTAAACAGTGACACATTTCAAACCAACACAGAAAACAGAGGATGAGCAACAGCTTGGCCTACAATTTACAGAAGATGAACTAAGATCCTGAAGTAACAGACATGTTTATAGCAACTGTTGACCCTTAAAGGTCATTAAACATTTATCCAAAAACTAGTTAGTTGTCAATCAAAAAGGACCCAGGAGAAACAATGATGTGAGCATCCTGTGTCACCCACACAGAAGGAATGCAATGCATATGACAAAATATGGCCAATTTGGCACACATCTTAGTGCTTGACTGTGAGAGTGGGAGTGAATGAAATTTATTAGAAAATACATACATGTAAATAAGAACTAGCTTACTAGAAATTTTATAAATAGATTTTACCTTGGGTAAGATTTTCAACTGAGTGGGGTTTTTAGGATTTGTTTCTTTGCATCCACAAATTTATCTTGGTACTTTCTCAATTTGGAATTTACCAGTCATTCATCTACATATTTCACATCCACTGCTTCCTCCTGGTGTCCCTTTCATAACACTGTTGCCTCCTCTGGTGAAGATTTATGAAGGATTAACATGGAAACATTCTTTTATAACTCATTCTTCATTTGCTAGAGCCAAGTGTGTTCCCAGTGCAACAGCAATACGGCAAACGTTTAAAATAATAAAAGAAAATAGTTCTATGGTTTAGCAGCCTTTTGACATACCTCAAAAATTGAAAAATCACACTTACTTAGCAGACAACTTGGGACAATGGTTCAGATCTTTGGCTTTCATATGTATTAACTGAAAGTTGGTATGTGTATGTGCAGGGAGAAAGTAGCATCAGCTTTCGGAGGAAAGGTAAATTAAAATCACAGAAAAAAAGCTGCATGGAAAATGCACACAGTGCATTCCAAAAGCCCACACTGGAGCAGCTCCGGACTTCGTGGGAAGGACTCAGGAAGGAGAGGTTCGTGGAGGATTCTCTCCCATGGGAGGGACCCATGCGGAAGCAGGGCAGGACTGTAAGGAATCCTTCTTCCTCAGAAAGAAGGAGCAGCAGGACCCACCAGCCTGTGAACTGACTCTAAACCCCATCCCCTGTCCCCCTGTGCTGCTGGGGGGAGGGAGGGAGAGAAACCAGAAACAAAGGGATTTGGGCCCGGGAAGAAGGGAGGGGTGGGGTAACATCTGCAAGCCCTGCTCTGTGTGTGTCTGTGTCCTGGGTGTGTGTGATTAGTGTGAAATTAAATTATTATTTTTTCCCCAAGTTGAGTCTGTTTTGCCTGGGATCTTAACTGGTGAAGAACCCTCCTTGTCCTTTGTCTCGACCTATGAGCCTCTAGTTGGCCCAGAGTGTGTGTGTTCGGGGGAGTTAAGTGAGCAGCCATGTGACTGTTTCTTTGTTGTTGTTTTGGGCCCAAACCATGACACTATATCACACTGCCTCAGACGGGCCAGGGTAAGTGCTATGCACTTACAATGGTGGAAAAAAGTACAGGATGGCTGGAAACATATCCTGTGCATTATGCCACAGCTTGGAACACCAACCTGAGCCTGAAGAAGCAAATCTTGTGGAGACATGATACTCCAGAAATAACTTAGTCAGATAATGGGACTCATTTCAAAAACAGTCTTGTGACTGACTGGGCTAAAGAACATAGTATTGAGTGGACATACCATATTC